TGTTTCTTGTCGCTTTGAGATACGCGAACGCCATTGATTTTAAAACCCATCATCATAGTATTTGCTATAATTGTGAAATTGGGTTGCACACACCCCACATCTGCGTTAGTCCATTTTTGGTGTTTAGAAAGGTTAGTCCTGGCCCGGATGGCCCGCGGCGATGAATTATGTCTAATATGGCTAGTAAATTTTGGGATGGACAGCATGCGGTTTGCGCAATGTACAGCAGAAGCTGTCCCATTATAACATTAAACGGTACAATCCTTTATGCATCATAAGATCGTGCCGAATAGTAGAAACACAAATAGTTTAACCAGACTATATAACTCCAATAGAAAAACCACGATCCAAAATTACATTCTCGTCCACTCACAAGTCTTAATATTTACAAACTGAATTTTTACGGGAACTATCGAATTTGTAATTCACAGATTAAATCCGTAAATATGTAAAGACGGAGCTAGGGACGCTTCATAGTTAGAATAACATATTTCAAAGCCGCTGTGGATTCTCTGCATGTTTGATGCTCATTCGGCAGTTTAGGCAAGTGGCAAACAAAAAAGGAAAATACAATCAGTACGAAATTTTGGCAATTACATTGGACAATGAATAAAGTTCCTCACGATCTACAGTTTACATTGGAGGATGAAATCTTCCGCGGGCCCGCAATCCCAGCATCACACAAACTGAACGATTCAATCTACTAAATAAAGCAAGTTTAATATCGCGCGCGTATTCGAGGCTCGCAACAAACAGGATCAATACGATAATATTAGTGCAGGCAACACTTATAAAATGAAGGTCATCAACACGCCGACATAACAACAACAATCTCGTCTCAAGCAAACAAACTGTTAATCTCTACCAAAATGTCTACCGAAGCTCAAGCAATGCCTGATCCATCGCAAATGTTCGCCATGAAACTCATCCAAACACTCAACAATGGCGCCCTATGCTTGATGATATCCATTGGCCATCGCACTGGACTCTTTGACACTCTCGCAACACTCTATCCCGAATACGTCTCTTCACAAACACTCGCCCAAAAAACCAATCTCAACGAACGCTACGTCAGAGAATGGTTAGGAGGCATGGTAGTCGGGGGAATTATCGAATACGACAGTGAATCCAAAACTTACAGATTTCCTCAAGAACATGCGGCATTTATGACAAGAGCAGTAGGAATTAAAAACATGTGTGTCTTTTCCGAGTGGTTCCCAATACTTGGATCTTATGAAGATAATATCTTGGAATGCTTTAAGAACGGTGGCGGGATTCCGACTAAAGCATATGAGCGACTCCATGAAGTGATTGCCGAGAGAAGCCGATTGACCGTTACTATGCTGCAAAGTACTATTCTCCCGGGTCTTCCTGGAGTACTTGATAAACTCAAGCAAGGATGCAACGTACTCGAAATCGGTTGTGGACGCGGCCTTGTTACTCTTGATCTTGCCAAGCACTTTCCAAATTGTACGTTCCGCGGATACGATATCTTGGATAATTTGATAGCTGATGCCAATGCTGAAGCAGCGTCTTCTGGTCTTACGAATGTCTCCTTCCATGTTCAGGATGTTTCTCAAATGGAAGACGTCAACAAGCATGATATTGTTATTGGTTTTGATGCTATGCACGATCTAGCTGAGCCGGCGGACGCATTAAAATGTGTATATCGTGCATTGAAAGATGATGGAATATATGCGATGCTGGATGTTAATGCCTCGAGTGATCTTGAGAAGAACAAAAGTCATATTTTGGGTCCTGCCATATATACCGCAAGCTCATATCATTGTGTGTCAGTCTCTTTAGCAGACGGTGGAAAAGGTCTGGGTGCGGCTTGGGGAACGGAACTTGCTTTGAAGATGATAAAAGAGGCTGGTTTTAGCAAGACAGAGAATATCCAGTTTCCTCATGATGCACTGAGTTGTTGGTTTGTGAATAGAAAGTAAAAATCACGAGAGCAGTTCTAGATAAATTTATAACGTGGTTAGCAGGGTATTATCTAGCTATAATGAAATAACTTGGTATTATAAATAAAACAAATTACTTTTATTCAATGCAAGCTCCGAGAAACTATTCGATTGTACAATATGAATATATTGGTTGCACGCTTTAAGAATTTTTTGTATTTGAGGATTTTAACAATATGGTCGAGATTTATTATAATGGTTATTACAACTGTATTGCTATTACTGTAACGAAGGTTCATTAAACGTAACCCTACTCGGACCCAAAGTCATTGACGAGTATAACCTATTCTTTGGTTACTCCGGTGCAAAGTTTAACTTTCATTATCACTCATACTATTACTATTATTAATAACAATAGTGTTGTCGCTATCACCAATCGCTTCACCCATATCTGAGCAGTTTACATTTTCTTCTTTTCTTCGTTGATCCAACTTTGATTGTTTTCGGAAAATTAAGCATTTTCGTAGGAGTGTTATTAACAGTTTTGCTAATATAGTATAAATTATAGAAAATTTTCACTTTTTTTTAAGAATAATAAATCAGAAGAAAAGAATGTTATTTTAGAAAAATGCCGAGTTAGAGAAAATTAATCAAGAGTTAAAAGAAATTAAAAGTGAAAGTAGAAGAAAGAGTAGATAGAGAATGACCAATTAAAAAACTAGATGCTTATTATTATGCGAAAAAAGATAAAATAAAGCATTATATTTGGGGCAGACTGCAACAAAACCAGACAAAGTGAACATTCTGTTATGTGAGGCTGATGTGGCTGAAAGTTAACTAATTTGACTAGTAACATTTTGAACATAATAATGGTGCTTGTATATAATAATAATGCTCACTTTATCATACCAAAATGGGATAATTATAAACCATAACAGGATTAATATAGTAGTATTAGCTTTGGCTATATGAGAAGACAGGTATATGTTACCTATCCCGAAAACATATCCGACCATATACATAGTGTTCTTCCATAATATTATATAATTATAATATTAATATATTTGAAGATTACTACACCTTGACCTACCTGAAAACATATCATTGAATGGGTAGGTTTGCCATTTTCTTATTATTATATAATATTTCCTATATAATATTTCCGCGCTTACTACCATGATTACATACCCCAAAATATACCACCGAAATAGATAGGTTTCTCCCATATATAGTAGTATACTACATATATAGAGTGACCAAGACTACCTGAAACATGCTACTTACTACTACCACTGAACGGGATATACAACTTCCATAATTATTATATCATATTACAAAAGTTATTATTAATATTAATATTAATGAACTCTTCAAAAAGTTAGAAATGTATTGTCTGAAAACATTATTTATATTATTATTAATTTGATACTAATAAAGAAAGACAAAGTAAAAGCTGAATATATTGTCTGAAATGTTATTGATAGAACTTTTCTAGAAATTTCCAAAATTTTTTTACTGCCATAAAAAAGAATGATCTACATTGACAGATCGGGGAATCTCTCTGACATATTAAATAATGATTTCCCACTGCTGTTACTAAATATAAATAAGTGTCAAATGTTTTACACACCATTTTGTACTTTCAAAGCTTACATAGGTGGTTACAGGAACTTGAAGAACCAATAGAACATGTCGTTTTTTGTTTATATAAACAAAAAGACTTACTATTAGATTAGACTATTATACTCTTAGGTATGACGCGCGTTTTGCGTTTGCCTCGTCAAAGATGAGACGTTTATAGTCTGCTCATCAGGTGACGTGTAGATTGCATTTGTATCGTCATTCGAGAGCCATCAAGATATACAGGTGGCTTGACGTGCGATTTCTATTTTAACGTGACGATCGTGGCAAATTTTTGTCGTCACCCACATGCCGATTTCCGTCATAGACAAAAAAAAAGTAACAGTATTAGTATATCTTACGATTTATACATTATTAGTAGCGACAGGATTTTTAACTGTGGGTTTGCGAATAGATATAAAATTGAAATCTGACTCAGAATCGTATTCCTTATCTAGCTTTTCTATATAAGTTTTGAAACCCTTTCCAATCTTCTGTATTAAGAGTTTATTGATAGGCTTAATATTGCAGCCTCCTCAATCTTTTGCGTTATAATTTTATCAATAATTGGGTTAGCATGCTCTTGTGATCTTGCATTTTATATATCGCATAGAATATTTGATAAAAAATTAATTGCCCGATAATGAAGCACGTAGTAGTAGTTCCGAATTGTTATCATATCTGGTAATGCACCAAAGCATCCGATGATAAGGCACGTAGTGCCGAATTGTTAGCAGTTGTTAGCTTTGCATAATTCATTCGAATATCACCCGTGAATGAGGTACGTAGTGCAGAATTGTTAGCAGTCGTTAGCTTCACATAATTTGTTCGAATATCGGTCACGGTTGAGGCACGTAGTGCCGAATTGTTAGCAGTTGTTAGCTTTGCATAATTCATTCGAATATCACCCGTGAATGAGGTACGTAGTGCAGAATTGCTAACTGTTATAATTCGTTCAAATAGCATCCGATGATGAGGCATGTAGTGCCGAGTTGTTATCGTTTATTTCGTGTCTATCCAAAGCATAATTTTTTATAAATATATATATCTGTAATAATTTTTATCTTGGGTGAACACCGATTTTTTCAACTAGTATACCTATTTTATGTCCATCTAAAGAATAATTTTACTTTGACCAGACATCGATTTTTCAACTAGTATACCAAATAGTACACCTATTTTGTGTCTATCCAAAGCATATTTTTATATATCTGTCATAATTTTACCTTGGGTGGACACCGATTTTTTTTTCCGAATTATGTAGTCAAAATAGTATGCTCTGTATCCAACTACTTTTTCTATGATAATTTTACCTTGACCAGACACCGATTTTCATAAAATTCATAGTATATTCTTTGTGTCTATCCAAAGTATAACTACCTTTTCTATAGTAATTATACCTTGACCGAACACCGATTTTTTTTCGAATTATATGTCAAAAGCATTAGTTATTATACTTTGACCGGACACCGATTGTATGCAATCTTATATTCCGAATTTCAGTAATGGTCTGTCATGCAATACAAAAATGGTTATCGGATACGTACCTTACCTCATATATCGGAAGGAACTTACATATTTCAATAGGCGGACATGTGAAACGGATAACCAGGATCCATATAATTCATACGATACAAAAACTCCTTATATGATCCTTTTTATTTTCCCTCTCTAGTTCGGGAAAAGATAAATAGATAGCATTGTATAGAGATTCAGAAAAATAGTATTACAAAGTAATGACCTTATAAATTTAACTTATCTAAAATCTGGCTTCGAATGGACTTGGCCATGAGAAGGCGGGGTATTGGAATAATAAATTTTTATTTGAATTTTTTCTTATATTTATTTGTAAGAGGGGACAAAAATCCCTTTACCCGGATATATAACTGGAACCGTTAGTGCCACCAGGACTCAGGGCGATAGAAATGTAACGGTGGTACTAAGAATAACAGTAGTACTAGAAGCAGTCGTACTAATGCAAAAATGTCGTACTAGCAGCGCAGTAACAGCACAGTAACAGCGCAGTAACAGCACAGTAGCAGCGCAGTAACAGCGCGGGGTAACAGCAGAATGTAATAGTCAGCGAGAGAGAGAATAGTGATAACTTAGAGAATAATTAGCAATTTAACGATTAATAAGCCGATGCTAAAAATAGATTAATTAGTCCGTCCGAAAGATATAAAAGCAGCGTAGGATAGACTTAGCATCGGTGTGTTCTTAGTGTTCAATCAAGTGTTCGACTCAGTGTTCAATCCAAGTGTTCGCTACGATATTTCCTATCGAAGACGTTCGATACCCCTTTCTATATTTTATTTCTTGTTAATAAACGAATATCCATTTATTCTGAAACAATAAGTCTTTTCCTAAAATTTTCCGTTATATTCGTAAAGCATTAAGCCGTATAACGGCAAGATCGGTTGTAATACTTGTCTCGCAATCGATCAGGTGGCATTAAGATAATTAATTATTATTTCGCAGCGCGCATTATCTTCTTATTAAGACCCCAACCTACAGACTACCGAATTAATCCACCGGTAGAGAGTAGTTTTGTTCTCGAGAATTGTTAATTATCTAGGATTAGTGTGTGTGACACGTATAGGAATATGTTAGCATTGAAAAGCCTAGTTTAAAGGTCACTAACTGTTTGTTAAGATTTAGCGATCGCTGAGGTGAGCCACACTCCTACGACGGCGCAGCTAGATCCCAAACCGAGACAGTAGTTATCCGCTCTCCCGTG